CAATCATCAGATACACAACAGTCGAAAAATTAGGGCAAAATCCCCTATAATACCCCACCATGCCCAAAAACCACATCAGCTCTTTCTTTTTTGATGGTGGAGGAAAACTTTGTATGGCCAAAACTTTGGCTTGAATAGGACGCAACTCACCTTGTCCCACTTCTTTGCCCAAATATCTGACTGTAGCCTTGGCAAACTCGCACTTTGCCAGGTTAACTGTAAGAGATGCCTCCACTAAACGCCTCAACAGCGCACAAAGATGAACCAAATGTTGTTCCCAAGTATCACTAAATACAATTACATCATCCAAATACACCGCGCAACCTTCCAGACCAAATACCACTTTATTCATCAACCTCTGGAAGGTAGCGGGGTGCATTTCTCAAACCGAAACTCATAACAGAGTACGAATATAACCCTGATGGTGTAATAAATGAAGTTACTTCTTGAACTTGAGGAGTTAATGGCACTTGCCAATATCCCTTTAAGAGATCCAATTTGCTTACAAATTTCGCTGCACCCACCTGATCCACACAATCCTCCATTCGAGGAAGTGGAAAACCATCAGGTTTAGTAATAGAATTTAACTTGCGGTAATCAGTACAAAATCTATATGTAGAATCTGGTTTCTTTACCAATAAACATGGTGAAGCCCAACTGGAGGACGAAGGAAAAGCTATCCCATTCTCAAGCATATATTGCACTTCAGAGTCCAGTATTTGCCGCTTAGTAATAGGAACCCTGTAAAAACGCTGATGAATGGGCCGGGCCTCTGCCACAACTACATCATGCTGGATCCAATGGGTATGAGATGGTACATCTGCAAACAAACTAGGAAAATCAAGTACCAATTTTTGTAACTGACAAATGCGAAAGTAAAGAATCCAAATTTTGGATTTCAAATTTTGAAATTCTTCAACCTAGGAAGCAACACACAATTCTCAGGGACAACCATATCCTCTTATCCTCCTACAAAAAGAGATTGAGAATTATCAAGTAAAACAGAAGCAACAGTAACAGCAGGATTAATTACTTGAGTTTCTGATTTACAGGAATGATAAGGCTTAAGTAAATTCACATGAAAACATTGCCTAACCTTCCGCCGATCTGGAGTTGCAATTTGATAATTTTGGTCAGACATTTTACGAAGAACAGTGTACGGGCCAGTAAATCGTGCACAATAAGGAGATCCAGGTGAAGGCAACAAAGCCAACACTTGATCACCCAGTGTAAAAACACGACATTCTGCACGTTTATCAAAGTGACTTTTCATTTTACTCTGTGCTCCAAGAAGATTTTTCTGAGCAGTTATTCTGGCCAAAAATAAGCATCTACGAAAACCATTTACATATTCTAACAAATTTTGCAGAGGATCTTCCTCCACCAATCCCTCCCGCAAAACAGAAAGTGGACCACGCACTCTGTGACCAAAAATTAGATCGTTTGGGCTAAACCCTAAACTCTCTTGCTGAACCACTCGGGCTGCAAACAGCAACCAAGGTAATCCCTCCCAATCACGGTTCAACTCAACGCAATAAGCACGCAACAATGCTTTCAATTGGCGCTTTTCCACTGCATGGTACGGCACAGTACGGCTCGGTACGGTTCACTTTTGGGGGGTTTTCCACTGGGTACAGTACCTGGTACCTGGTACTTTTTTTAGTACCACCTCGGTTGAGGTTCCAAGTGAACCGTACCGTTACCAAAACGTGACGTGTAAACTCTGCTGATCACGGATTGGCCTGAGAGAATCGTCACTACCTGCGTCACTGAACTTGCGACACAAACACAACAGAACCGCTAGATTTAAATCAGCACAGCCAGTGAAGGATTGAACGCAACTGTTTTGAACAAGCGCACCTTTTTTAACAACCAAAAAGTGGCTGTTTTGTTGTCTGTTGAGGAAGTACAGACATTCCTCTCGTTGATAGCAGAGGAGCGGATCCAGCGAGAGCTTGATGGGGCGACGCAGAATGAAACAGTTTTTCAGGAGTCGCGCAACTATAAGGACGTGAATAATCCCGCCCGCTCTAAAGCGGTACTGAACTGCAGTGGAAACACAAACCGAGCCGTGCCGTGCTGTGTCGTACCGTACTGAGCCGTGCCGAGCCGAGTCGTACCACGCAGTGGAAAAGCACCAAATGTTTGATGGAACCGCTCAAGAGCCCCTTGACTTTGAGCATGATACGCACTTGATTGATTGTGTTTTACTTTAAGCACCCTCAAAATATCCGCAAACATGTGTGGTGAAATTAGTCCCTTTGTCACTGAATAGTTTTAGGTATCCCAGTAGTAATCTTTCTAATAGGATAAGCGGCTGGATACTGAGTAGCTTGACACATAACTGTTAACATGTACACATTACCTGATTTAGACGTTGGTAATGGACCCACACAATCAGTTATTAAATGCTCAAAGGGCTTACTTGTGACTGTTATAGGACAAAGCGGCACTGGTTTCAAAGGCTGATTAGGTTAACTGGCATAAATGGCAAGGTTTAATAAAGACAGAAATGTCCTTCTTCAAACAAGGCCAATATAATTGGCCCAAAATTCGATCATAAGTTTTATTTACTCCCAGATGACCTGCTACTTCACCATGTGCAACTTTCATTACTGCCTCTCGAAATGGCTTTGGCACCACCACCTGAATTACAGATTCCTCCATCAAACCTTTCTTACAAGGCACATACTTTCTTAAGGGCATCTCATCTTGGATGAAATATCCGCTGACAGCACTTCTTACTTCCTCAGCTGAAATAACATCCTCAAACAATTTCTGTAATCCAGGATCATTTCGTTGTGCAGTCACCAACTCCCTATGAGAAATAAAAGGAAGAGTAGACAAACCAGGCACAGCATACTTTGAAACATCTTTCTCCTCAACAGATGCATCATAACTCATTGAACGAGTTACTGAACATGCTGTAAAAACCTCGGGAAACTTTTGATTTAGTGGATCAGATCTTTCAATTATTGGTGTGGACACTACCACAGGGGGTGGGGTTACATCTCGCCATACTCTACCTCCAGCTAAGTTATTTCCAAGTATTACCGTAACCCCATCTACGGGCAAACATGGACGCACTCCCAGAATTACTTTTCCACAAACCAACTCGGAGGTCAGCTTCACTCTGTGCAAAGGAACAAAAAGAGTTTGTAATCCAATCCCTCTGATCAAAACATTCCTCCCTTCACTTGTTTCATCAGAGAATGGCAGGACAGATTCAAGAATAAACGATTCCGAAGCCCCCTGTATCCCTCAAGATTTTAACTGGGACTTTATCCTCAGAATTAATCAAAGAAACAAAACCCTGAGTAAGAAAAGGAGCAAAGTGTTTTGTAGCTGCAACTTTTGATTCACGCATTATATTTTCCATTTCCCTAAAGGTACCACATTCCAATTCATTAGAAGTACTTGTAGTCTTGGTCACTAATGCCGGAGTAGCATGATTGGCATTTAACTCAATTTCAATTTTGCAGCCAAAACTGGACATTTATTTTTTCAATGTCCCATGTTAAAACAGTAATTGTACACTAAATCTCGGTCAGTTTTCCCACGATAACTTTTGTCAAATTTAGAAAAATAGGGTTGTTCAAATTTCTTTGATACACCCCTACATTTACCGAAGTTACCATAATTATGGTTTGACTTATCTTCTCTGTACATTTTTTTATGTGTCAACATATAGTCATCTGCCAAGACAGCAGCTTCAGTCGCATCCTTTGGCTTCCTCTCATTTATATATGTAGCAATATGCTCTGGCACTATGCTCTTAAACTGTTCTAGAATTATCAAGTCTCGTAACTTCTCAAAATTATCCACATCAGAAGCAATACACCAGCGGTCAAAGTGCGAAACAAGTTATCTTACCACCTCAGAATGTGTTTGACGATCACCTTTCCTCCAGCTCCTAAAACGTTGGCGGTACGCCTCAGGAACTAACTCGTAGGCTTTTAGGATCGCCGTTTTCACTTTATGATAGTCTCTTCTGTCCTCATTGTAAGAGCTGCATATGCCTCCTGTGCCTTACCTGTAATCACAGTTTGAAGCATAACAATTCGAACAGCATTTGGCCCATTCCCTCCTTCAGCTATGGTCTCAAATAAAGAGAAAAAAACATCAGGGTCATGTTCATTAAATTTAGGGAGCAGTCTTAAATTAGTCAAAACTGCCAGACAAATTTACATCTCTCTCACCAAGGTTATTTTCGTAAATCAAAACTAAAACTATCACGTATTTTAATATAAATGCGCACCTACCTTGCATGACGACTACCGTCGAACCCACGGGACATTCTACACAAACATTCGCGAGCACGTTCCAACACAGGCCTAGTATAATATAAAATAATGAATTAAATAAGCTTCGGACGAGCCCCCATTTGTTACGATTCTTTTCCTAAAATCGCAACCAACCACTGCTTAACAAAACAAATTTATTTAGCTATAAAGAAAAAAAAAAACATTTACATGTAATCAGTGTAGGTGATAGTATGTCGGCAAGTGCTTGTAAGTAGTACCAATAACAACAGCCCAAACAAACACCAATAGCAAAACTCAACACCCAAACGTCCGATCTAGGGAGAGATTAATCAAAACGGGAACTCCTCCAGTGCGGCAACGAACTCCCATAACCTCCATATCCCGTGAGCGCCTTGGTAGACTCTTGCACAGACGCCTACAACAAGCAATAGTTCCCACTCCATTGTTCCACAGAGTCCATTTTTAAAGCGTGATGATTTAGCCCAGGTGCAAATCCACGTCAGCCAATCACATGGAACTCAAGCACAAATCACAGAGTGACTCGGAGATGTCACACTAGATATCTATCCAACCAGTAAAAAACACATAAAGTGACCAAGTGTACAGTAAATAGCCACAAATTGAGAGGAAAGAGTACATAAACCAGTTTGAGTTGTGTGAGAGGAACCTCAAATGATTGCAAATCAAAATCATTATTTTAATATTATTTGTTACTTGCTTTCTCTCTGATTTCAGATGTACATCACATTTACAGTGAAAGCCAAAGGAACTCGTCTGGCTAAACCAGTCATGTCTTTGGGCCTGATGTGCTTGGCTTTTCTAACGGGTATTAACAGGGTGGCGGAGTATCGTAATCACTGGTCTGACGTCATTGCTGGCTTTATCATCGGTGTGGCCATCGCCACCTTTCTAGTAAGTTTTTCATCAGTTTCATGTTGTATATTTCTGTTGGGCTTCTTACAAACATACAATGTAACAGTTTAGCCAAAAATTATAGTTCTATCATCGTTTACTCACTCTCATATCATTCTAGACATGATTTTCTTTCTTCTGTGAAACACACAAAAAAAAGGTGTTTTGCAGAATGTCCTGGCCAATCTTTTTCATACAAAGTAAGTGAATTGGGACGGTGACCGAGAAGGTCCAAAGTTAAAAAAAAAAAAAAAAAAAAGGGGGAAAAAGCCAAATGCATCATAAAAGTGGTCCATTTGTGCACTATACAGTATTTAGGGTTCCATGGAAAAGCTGGAAATATCAGGGAATGTTAATGTCATTTTAATGTCCAGGCCTGGAAAAGTCAAAAAAATTAAAAAAAATCTTAAAGTAACTGACATTTATACATATTTTTTTTTAGATATTTGTAGTATATACATAGATATTAAAATGTACATTTCAGTTTAACTTAAACTATCCTTATTTGCGTGACTATATCTGATTGGACTGTAGTGTACACTGAACAGTGATCTTGAATAGTAATGATCAGGCCTATACAGCAGTGTTATTAGCATTTATATAATATTACATTATTTATTTTTATTTTTAATTAGGTTTAATTTGTATATTTTCAGTTTTATGTCCTTTTCCCCCTGTTTAAATATTTCTGTTTAGCTTTAATTTATTTTTATTTCCGTCTTAGTTTGTAATTTTAGCATTTCAACCTACACTTATGTATTTCAATTATTTGCCAAGGCTATATTTCTAATGTTTTTCAAAAAATATGTATTTATTTTTTTTCCACATTATTTCAATTTAATTTAATTTAATTTTTTAATTAATTTAAATTCACCGTTCACCCAAAAATGAAAATTAGCCCATGAATTACTCACCCTCAAGGCATCCTAGGTGTATTCTTCTTTCAGACGAATCCAGTCAGAGTTCTATAAAAAAATTTCTTTGATCTTCGAATAAAGCGCATCCATCCATAATAAAAAGTGCCTCACATGGCTGCGGGGGGTGAACAAAGGCCTCCTGTAGCAAATCGATGCGTGTTTTGTAAGAAAAAAACCATGTTTAAAACGTAATAATCAATTTAATCTAGCTTGCGCTCACTGTTGTACACGGAAGCAGCTCCGGGCTGATGACATAGGATGTCGGCGTTGCGCATGCGCCGCTCAGAAGTGACGAACATGGAAGCGCAGGTCAAAACAAAACAACGGTCACCAATTAGAAGTGCAAAACGAGGATTTGTAAAGAAGAATGCAGGTTTGCATTGCACAACATCAGAAAGATCAGGCCCTTTCTAACGGAGCATGCTGCACAACTTCTTGTCCAGGCCCTTGTCATTTCTAGGCTGGACTACTGCAATGCTCTTCTGGCTGGACTTCCATCAAGCACAATCAAACCTCTACAAATGATTCAGAATGCAGTGGTACGTCTGGTCTTCAACGAGCCCAAAAGAGCCCATGTTACACCTCTCTTTATCTCCTTGCACTGGCTACCGGTCGCGGCTCGAATCAAGTTCAAGACATTGATGCTTGCATATAGAACAGCCACAGGCTCAGCACCCGCCTACTTCCACTCACTACTACAAATCTACATCCCCTCCAGAAGTCTTGAGATCCGCTAGTGAGCGACGCCTCGTGGTACCATCACAGAGAGGCTCAAAATCACTTTCCAGAACATTCTCGTTCACCATTCCTGGCTGGTGGAACGATCTTCCCCCCCCTATCCGGAATGCTGAATCCCTGACAATTTTCAAGCGACAGCTGAAAGCTCATCTCTTTCGAAGCTACTTGACTTCATCATCATCATTATAAAAAAAAAAAAAAGTTTAAAAATTCTCTCTCTTTATTTATTCGTTCTCTTTCTAGCTTGTATTTAACTGTCTAGATTATTCGTTCTCTTTCTAGCTTGTATTTATTTGAACAATGTCTAGAAACTTGGTATTACAAGCACTTCCTGTATCTGTTTGCCTCTTTAAGAAGAATCGCTTTATGTATTCCGAAATTGTGAGTCGCTTTGGATAAAAGCGTCTGCAAAATGACTAAATGTAAATGTAAATGTAAGAATGTCGGAGGATTTCAATATAAGCCAAAAGGAGGCTGGTTTTCCTTTGCTAAAGTACTTTGCTTCCTTTGCTCCTGTAAACAAGCATTAGTTTTCACGAGACTCACCGGCGCATGCACAATGCCGACATCTTACGTCATCCTCCCGGAGCTGCTTCTGTGTGCAACTGTTGGCACAAGCTAGATTAAAGTGAATATTACGTTTTGATTATGGATATTTTTCTCACAAAAACGCATCGATTCGTTACAGGAGGCCTTTGTTCACCCCCTGAGGCAATGTGAGGCACTTTTTATTATGGATGGATGCACTTGTCATATACACCTAGGATGGCTTGAGGGTGAGTAAATAATGGGCTGATTTTCATTTTTTGGCTGAACTATCCCTTTAAAGTGTTTTTAGTAGTTTTAGTTAACAGTAACAACTCTGATAGCTAATAGCTAATATGTCATAAAAATTGTAAAGCATTTAATATGATAGAAAAAGCTTTTTTATGAATACAGTCTCTGTAAAAAAACTGTAATCATAAACAAATAGAAAAGCCATAGAAACTCTTTTTGTTAAACTAACACTAGTGACAAACGTGGAGTTAAATGGCCGAAGTCCAGAGCAAATTACATATAGCTCATCTAGCAAGGATAACAGGATAGAGAAAGGATCATGCTGGCTGGTGGGAAGCTAAGTAGAAGAACCGCTCATATACTGACATTCTAGAGGACCAGCTAAGCTCATGCCAACATCCAGCCCTTTTACAGACCCTCTGCTCCAGGCCTCTTATTCCCTTAAAGCCAATTGTGTTGTGTAGAAGAGCTGCCAAATGCAGGAAGATGGATTTCGCCCTCATTCCACCACCCACATCTGGACACATCATGATGCAGGTTTCCTCTCAGGGCACAGGAGATGAGAGCAGAAACTAATGCATTTATGGAGACACAATGACTCTTGCTTTGCTGAACTGCAGGTATACATTTTGTTTCTGTAGGGACTTTCTGGACTTAAACTTGAAGAAATCAACCAAGTTGATGGTTGTATCTATATGCCAAGGTTTAGAAAGAATGCCACATTTTAAGATTAAAAGGTAGAATTGAAAGGAAATCCATGAAATTCAACCTCCCATGTGGTAAATTCAGCATGTAATGCTCCAAATCCCAAGCTCTCTCCACCATCCTGAGCATGCAGAAACCTCTGGAAAGACTGGTTCTTGGCACATGCAGGAGAATAACACTGGAATAGGATTTTTTTTTTTGTTGTAAAAATATAATGCTTTTATGCTGCCAGGATGCAGAAAAATTGATCAAAATTAACAGTAAAGACATTTATAATGGTATAAAAAATTCTAATTTAAATTATATTTATTTGAACTTTCTATTGTATCAAAGAATCCTGAATAATTGTATAACAGTTTCCACAAAAATATTAAGCAGCACAACTGTTTTCAATATTGATAATAATAAGACATGTTTCTTGATCAGTAAATCAGCATTTTAGAATTATTTCTGAAGAATTGTGTGTCACTGAAGACTGGAGTAATGATGCTGAAAATTTAGCTTTGCCATCAGAGAAATAAATTACATGTTTAAATATATTAAAATAGAAAACTTCACAATGTTACTGTTACTGTGTTTTACTTTGATCAAATAAATGCAGCCTTGGTGAACATAAGAGTCTTCTTTCAAAAATATTAAAATGTTATTTTCTGCAAACCTTTGAAAGGTAATGTAAAATTATTTTTAAAGTAACACTTTTTTCTTTAATATTATTTTAATATTTTATTCTTATTTTTCAGTAAACATCATTAAGATTTACCTAAGTGAAATTGCTACTTAAAAGATATTAGACTTGTTTTCAGTGATAAATGAATGTATTAATATTTATTATTATAAATTTAATTATTTAATACATACATTTTTTTTTTTTTTTATAAAAATACAAAATATATTATAATACAAAAATATATTGTCATGTTTTATAATATAGTTGTTTTACTGTATTTTTGATAAAATGAATGCATCCTTGGTGAGCATAAGAGCTTAAAAATATTGCTGATCCCGAACTTTTGAACCATTAGTGCACACAAATTCGATGCTTAGAATGAGTTCCTTCTCAGCTTTTGCGAGATGTTTTATAGTCTTGCTATACTTAGAGCTAGGAATTTGAGTATGAGCAGAGTATGAGAAATAGTAATAGTGATGTTTGCCTTAGCAAGCACCGCTAATGAGAGAGTCCACTGCGTGTAATTAATGTTTAAGAATTCAGATGTGTCTCTCCAGCCCAGTGTGCAGATAAGGCCAGATTTTAGGATGAAAGATAATAGTCCCAGTAGAACAGATAAAAAGATTGTTCTGATGTAGGCCTCACTGGGACAGAGACGCCCACAAGCTATGGAGCCCCGAAGACTATTTCTTGTCCGTCATACCACACAGTCACAAAGGACATTTTTAGAGAGCTGTGATATCCTAGTGGCAAATCTTTGGTGTCATTTCAGTTGAAGATTTTGTGACAAAAGACTCTTTGTCGAGAGATTTCCCCCTTGTGATTTCATTAACGATCAGAGAGTGAATGAAATAGTTTAAAATCATTTCATAACTCCTGTCTAACTTCATTCCAGTCGCTGTCAAGATAAAGAAAAGTATTCCTGAGTGGTCAGACTGAGCTCTTTAATGATTATTTGATTGACTTCAGCTATTATTAATTTGTCTGAGAGTAGGCAGTGTTGGTGCTGAACAAACAGTGTGGCAGCGCAGTTCTTGTATTGGAGGAATATTGGAGAGAGTTGAGCGGAGATGCGTTTAGAAAGCTGTGAGTTCTTCCTTCTGCAGAACTTTCTGTGGAAAGTTCTCGATCTATCTATCTATCTATCTATCTATCTATCTATCTATCTATCTATATCTATCTGTCTGTCTGTCTGTCTGTCTGTCGTTCTGTATCGTTTTGTCATTCTATCATCTGATCTGTCTGTCTGTCTGTCTGTCTGTCGTTCTGTCTGTTGTTCTGTCATTCTATCGTCTGATCTATCTGTCTATTGTTCTGTCATTCTATCATCTGATCTGTCTGTCTATTGTTCTGTTGTTCTATAGTTCCATCATCCATATATCCAGATTTTCTTGAGCAAATGTAAAATTGCAGTCATGTTTTTTGTTCCATTGTTCATATTGCTAGCGTATCCGCCTCTGGTCTTGAGGGTCAGACAAGTGTTTAGCCCTGCTGCCAGGCCATTACGAATCCTCTCCGGCAGGATTGTGATTTATGAAAGTGTTTCGCTGCCGTTTTGGTGGAGGAAGCGCACAAAAAACCCATGTGATTAGCTGACACGCTCCAATTATTGAAATTGCATGTGCTAAGCTTTCTCATCGCGTAAGGAGTCCGCTCTATAAGATATCGGCCTCATTTACACCACGTTGGGTTAGTGATTCAAACATGCTCTGTTCAGCTGGAGATCCAGAAGCTGCATATATGACAGCTGAATATAAACTACCAACAGAATGTGACCTACTTTGGCCATTGGCTGCTGTGTTGGAGCTTTTTATTAATATCATCAAAATATTTTGCACAGAAGTCAGCAAAGGCGGACGTTCAGCAACATACAAATACACATTTGGAATGGAGAATTATATACAGCAAGCTGTGCAAGCAAAACACAGTAATGAGGGTTTATGTAAAGCTTGATTTTAAAGCTCTTTTGTGTTTGGATTCTTTCTATCTGTCTATATATCTGTCTGCCTGTCTATCATTTTATCATTCTGTCTATCTTTCTATCTATCATTCTATCTGTCTATCTAATCTGAGTGGGAACAGCTAAGCATAGTAGCTGTGTTCCGCTTTATGGGTCAAGGACTCTCACATGGCTGCTAACAAAATTACTGTTATTTCACTCTTCTCTCTTCCCACTGTGACGCACGATTGTCCCTGACTGTGCGCTACACAGTAGCTTTGTATTAAGTTTGTGTGATTTAATATTATCTGCTCCATTGACAGTGCAGCTGTATTGTGTTGACTCTGTATAGTTCTATAGTTCCCAAAAATGAAAATTCTGTCACCATTCACTCACCCTCAGGTTGTTCCAAACCTGTATGAGTTTTGTTTCTTCTGAAGAAAGATATCTAAAGAAGATATTTTGAAGAATGTTGGTGACCAAACAGTTGCTGGTAGCCACTGACTTCCACAGTATGGAAAACAAATACTATGGAAGTCAGTGGCTACCAGCAACTGTTTGGTTACCAACATTTTGGGTGATCTATCCCTTTAAATAATGTTATATTTTTCATGTTTTCAGGTGGTGTGTGTGGTCCATAACTTCAAAGGCAAACAACTGCTGAACGAGGATCCCCCCCAGGACCACCTAAGCAGCAATCCAATGGTCAGCTCGCCTAGGGTTGAGAGTCCGCTGGAGAAGTACATCGCTTCACAGGTATAGAGCACAGTCAACAGAAGCACACTTGATATCTGTGTGACCATGCTGTCAAATGAACTGCCACATGGTACATGCCCTGTGTGCAGAGTGTTGAATCAGCTCTCAAGGGTCCTAATTGTGTCAGTTTGAGCTCTCGTATCAACAAGATGTGTATCCGTGCGCTCCTGTCCCTCAGGTGACAGAACTGAGAATGGATGATGAGGAGTTGTCGTCCCGTTCTCTGAAAGGCCGTCTCCTGAGTTTCTTTAGCTGGATCACAGGCAAAAGCAGCCGCTTCAGACACCTGCAGAACACAAGGCAATAAACGTATGCACACCTGTGTGACGAGCTCAGGCTGCCAAAGCTCTGGAGTACAACGACACGTCATTAAGACCCAGTTAAAACCCAATCATGTTCATTTCAACTGAACAAACCAATTACCTGTACCTAATTAAAGCATACCCAGAGCTTTGGCATCTCCGTCTGCATGTCTTTTGCAGTTCAATCTTCATGGTTGCATCTCATCTTCTTCTGAACTTAAAGCTAATGTGCAGATTATCTGATGACTTTCAGGAAGCTGTATTTTTAAAGATATTTTCAATAATTTTCAGGGTGCAATTGGTTGACCTTCCAGTAAAAATTTTGTATTGTGTATGTGTAATTTTTTTATTGTAATATCATTTATTTATCATTTATTATTGTAATATAATGATTGTAATATTTTGTAAATATTCAACAATTATATTAATTCATATTAATAATCATAGTTCTAGTAGTTTTTTTATTTTTAAGATCCTATACCATCCCCTCATAATTTGCACTTGGCTTACCCTGGAGATGTTGTCCGACATGAGTTCCGCTCCGAGTCTGCTGGGGTGTATTTATGATCTACTGTCATTTTTTATGTATCCCAGTTATATACAGTATACACAGTATATTGTATATAGTATATACAGTTTTTATTTATATTTTGGATTAGTTTTTGTTTTAATGTTTTCTGTTTTCACCTTATTTTAAATTAAACTTGTAGTAATTTGTTTTCTCATTTTTCTCATTTTTTTTTAAATATGTCTATATAGATGTAATTTATTTAATGTTAACTATCTGAAATAAGTTTTTTATTTTTATTTTTATATTCAAAGTTTAATTTAAATATTTCAAGTAACAATTTTTTATGGTTTTAGTTTTAGTTAAATATAACAACCATGGTTATATGATGTATCATAAAATAAATGTAAGCATTTTTTTCACCCTGTGAGGTGTTGGTTGAACACCCATAAGCTAAATGTGTTTAGTATGTTAGTTTCAAAAATGAATGAAATACACATTGAAATTAGCTGATTGATTGGCTGAAAAAGATCATTTTACAAAACATTTGATTTTGATACAGGATGAGGGCCTTTTATTTAGTTCGTTTTTGTTGGTACACTGTGATAGGAGACTTCAGGGTTGTTGTTTTTTTGTAATGTACCTGAGAGTCATATCATTCGAAGCTTTTTGTGATCTAATAAGAATTCCTTGCATGCACAGTTGCTTCCCAGTTTGTTTTCTTTCATAGCCGGTGCTTCAGAATCCATTTAAAACCTGTACTGAAACCTGGTGTTGGTGTTTGAGTTGGGTGACCTAAAAACCGTCAGCAATTCCGCACCTCGAATAGAAGTGGAAATGCACTACTAAGTCCTCAGAGACTTGAAACACGTTTGAAAATCCTCTGTTCCTGAGGTGCTCCCAAACAGCCGTCATCCTCCATGGCAGAGAGTCAGACCTCGTGTTCAGCTTTTAATTAAGCCACAGGCCACCGCTGAGCCCCGTCAGACTATAATTAAGCTGCAATTGTGACCCTTTAAACACAGTTATTTATGCATTCGTTTCACAATCTTGCAAGTAAGCAAATGAGAGAATCGTTTAATCCCAGATTGCGGTGTTGATTGTCTCTCTGCAGTATAGGAGGGATTAAATGTTGCTCTTGTTTGCTTATTCAGATGCAATAAAACCATTTGGGAACAATGTCAGTTCACAGATGGTTTATTGAAATGCAGCAAATGAAATGTGTAGGATATTGAGGGCTCTTTCCACCAATAAAAATGCTAATCTTCTTAGTCAAGGGTGTCGATTCAAGATATTTATTTGTGATATTCCTCCGTCCTTGTAGATGAAGTTTGGGTGCAATAATGTCCCGTGAGGTTTCTGGGACAGAAAACAGACGATTCCACTTTGCTTTCTGCTGAAATATCCCCCAGACAGATTGCTGTCAGAAACCATAATGCCGTTGAAAGTGGGAGGACAAGGCGAGGAAAATCCGCATCTCTGTTTTGTCTCTTCAAATCACAGAGACTACCGGATCATGGTGAATGTGACTGGAAGCAAGAAATAATTTATTTGGCAAAATCCGCCCCATATTCTCTGGCGAGGTTATCGGCGATATGACCTGCGGAGCGCTTTTCTGTAATCGTTCTTCATGTTTGCTGAATCTCTGATGAACTCACCCCATTTCCAGCTGTATTATTTATGAATTTTCTAATGCAGCGTGTAGTTTCACCGCCATGTACTTTTAGATATCATTAAATCACTCTAAATTCAGCTACAACTCCAGCAGAATTCCTTTCAATGCCTATTTGTATGTATATCTGCGTGACATGTAAGAAACAGAACATTGCGTTTCATAATAAAGTTTTGACCACCAGAGTCACACGGCCTATCATATCTGATAGAAACGACCTGTCTTCTGGATATATAT